CTATCTATCTATCTATCTATCTATCTATCTATCTATCTATCTATCTATCTATCTATCTATCTATCTATCTATCTATCTATCTATCTATCTATCTCTCTCTCTCTCTCTCTCTCTCTCTCTCTCTCTCTCTCTCTCTATCTATTTATCTATCTATCTATCTATCTATATATCTATCTATCTCCTCTGTATCGCACTCGTCCACTCTCTCTTATCCCTGTTCCGTGTCTCTCACTCTTCGTTTCTTCTCTCGCACCCTCTCACCCTCCCTCTCTCTCTCTCTCTATCTGTGTGTGTGTGTGTGTGTGTGTGTGTGTTTGCGCGTGTTTCTAACTGCGTATAGAAATATCAACATGCTTTTATAGTGAATACTTACTTCACGATCCACTTCTGGAAATATATGCTCCATTATTATGTCAAAGTCTAAGCCTCCTGTAGGCCTGAGGAGAAACAAAGGTTTATCATCATTAAATGTATACACCTCTCTGGATATTTGTCTAGCTGGTGTGCTGTCTGTCTAGATATTTGTCTGTCTAGCTGATTTGCTGTCTGTTTGTCTGTCTGGATATTTGTCTGTCCAGTTGGTTAGGTTAGTTGCGTATCCTTTACATGACGTTACAGAACCAACCCAACAGCACCTGGCTGTTGTATGGTTTTTCTAGGCAAATTCACATCCAGTAGTTTACCATTGCTCTCTGGACGGTCGGCTTTCTTGATACCAATGTCGAAACCAACGTAAGGCGCATGACCCGCAGCTGGGATCGAACCCGGCATCCCGGCATTTCTAAGCGTTCGCATCGACCTAGACAAAAAGCCGACGTCCAGCTGGTTTGCTGTCATATTAATGATCCTGCATTAAATCTTAGCATAACATGTGACCTATTTGCTGATGACTGTACTATACACACTAATCATGAGAACTATGATGAGTTAGCACGTTCATTACAGAATGAACTAGATAAGCTTATTAAATGGAGTAATGCTAATCGCATGCAAATTAACATAACTAAAAATAAATCTGTGGTAATAGCAACCAGACAAAAGTTACAGACATTAGACTTAAACAAGCCTCCACTTGAGCTCTATGTTGACATTATTACTTATTAGTAATGTTAATGAACACAAAACATTAGGCGTTACAATTGATAGCAATTTAACTTGTTGTTCTCATGTTCAGGCTATAACCAAGAAAGTAGCACAAGTTTATCAGTTAGCCCAAATTTAGCACTTTCTGGATCAGAGTACAAGAAAAATATTTTATGTATCCTACATTTAAGCCCATATCGATACTGTTCCACGATTTGGGATGGTTGCTCCAAATCTAACTTAAAACGGCAATTCTCTACAAAATCGCGCTTTACACCTAGTTTCAGATAAAAATTTGTTGGTGTGTGTGTGTGTTTGTGTGTGTGTGTATGTGGATATATTTATGTATTTTTAGGTTTGTAAGTATGTGTGTATTTGTATGTATGTGTGTTGTAAGTAGATGGGTGTCTATATGTGGGTGTATCTGTGATTGTATATGAGTGTATGTGTGATAGTGGGTGTGTGTGTATTATGTATGCAAGTATGCATCTATGTATGAATGTATGTATGTATGTATGTATGTATGTATGTATGTATGTATGTATGTATGTATGTATGTATGTATGTATGTATGGATGGATGGATGGATGGATGGATGGATGGATGGATGGATGGATGGATGGATGGATGGATGGATGGATGGATGGATGGATGGATGGATGGATGGATGGATGGATGGATGGATGGATGGATGGATGGATGGATGGATGGATGGATGGATTTATGTATTATGTATGCATGTAGGGGTAGCCTATGTATGTATACATGTGGGTGTATGTATGTGTGCGTATGTGTATGTAGGTGCATGTATGTATATATTACACATATCTTTGTATGTGTATGTATGAGAAAATATGTAAATGAAGCTGTGTAAGTATGTGGGTGTATGTGTGTGTATTCATGTATTTATGTGGATGTATGTAAATATATGTAGCTATGTGTATGGGTATCATTATAGTTGTGTACCTATGTATGTATAAAAGTATCTATGCATATATGTATGTAAGTATGTATGTATTATCTGGCTGTGTGTGTGTGATTGTGGGTGTGTGTGTATGTGGATATTTGTAACTATATTTAGGTTAGTAAGTGTGTGTATTTATGAATGTATGTTGAAAGTATGTGGGTGTTTGTGTGATTGTGTATGTGTGATTGTCGGTGTGGGTGTATATAATATGTGCAAGTTTGTATGTATGCAGGTATGCATGTGTGTATGTATTATATGGGTAGCTGTATGTGTGTTTGTAAAGGTGTGTATGCATGCATGTATGTGTAATGTATGTGGGTGTATGTATGCATATGAAGCCGTGTAAGTATGTCTTTGTATGTGTGTTTATTTATGTATGTATGTGTGTAAAGATGTCACTGTATGCATAGATGTGTGTATGTATGTATGCATTAATGTGTGTGTGTATGTATGCATGCATGTTTGTGTATTTATGCATGTGAGTATATATGTGTGGTGAAGGCGTATGTGGGTGTCTGTATATGTGATTGTATGTGTGTGTATGCATGCATGCATGTGTAGATGTGTATGTACGGAATATGTGTGTGCATGTATGTCTATGTATGTATGTGTGTGTTTTATGTTTGTGCATGTATTTCTATGTATGTATGTATGAGTGTTTTATGTTTGTATATGTATGTAGGTGAGTGTATGTATGTATTACGTTTGTCTGTATATGAGTGTGCATGTATGAGAATGCAAGAGTGTATACGTGTGTGTGTGTGTGTGTGTGTTGAGTGTGTAAGATTGTATTGCATAATACAATGAATTAAATGGTATGATAGAATCACTAATGGAGAGCTTTGCGAGACAGCTAAACAAATTCCACTGGACCAAGGGGTGAAGAAAAGACGCTGGTGTTGGATAGGACACGCGTTGAGACAACATGAGAACAATATAACTAGAATATCGTTGCACTGAAACCCACAAGAGCATAGAAATACAGTGTGACCAATCAACTCACGGAGAAGGGACTAGAGAGTGCAGTTACAATGTTCGGGAGGACAAGGGGAGAGCTACATACGATAGCGAAGGATAGAACCACTTGGCGTGAGTTGGTTGAAAGCCCTTGCACCCTAGGGCGTTAGAAGACAGAAGATGACAAGCTCACAGCAAGAGGACAACAACTCTGGTCAACCTTACCTGTAGGCAAAATCTACAGGATTCCTTCTGGACTTCCACACCAACAATGAACAATTGTCGACGTTCGGAAGCGGCGAACAAACGTATTCTTCAAAAACAGGCGGATTCTTGTCTCCTCTCGAAACAACCACACGGGCCTTTCTGATTGGTTGTTTGGCTGTCAACAAGTTGATTCAATAGTCATGTTGTTAACATCTTCAGTAGTGGTATAGTTTCTACTTCATTTCTGCAATGCTACTACTGCTGCTACACTGCTAATATTACTACTGCTGTGGCATCCGCGGCTGCTGCTGCTTTCTCTCTTTTTTATTCTCCTCTTTGCTATACTTTGTTCGTCTCCTTCCTGCTCTTCTTTATTTTTCCCCTCCTTCAGACTAGAACATGTCCGTTAATTCCTCTCATAAAACTAGTAAGACGTACACCATATTTCCATGCAGTTTACGTGTGGTGTGTGTGTGTGTCTGTGTGTGTGTGGTGTGTGTGTCTGTGTGTGTAGTGTCTGTGTTGTGCAGTGTGTAAGTGCGTGTATGTGTGTTTCCAATGAAAGAGAATTCCTTGCGGGCGATATTCATTGTCTAGAAATCTGCAGTTCCTTGTGAGCTTGTGTAGTTTGTCTCCATCGCAATAAGATATCATGTATCAGCCTATAAACTCCTTTTTCTGTTTAATGCATCGTGTTTGAAGTCCCTGTAGGTCTTGTCAACTGACTATATCTACTTGTACGTTTATACTTGATTCAAATGGAGTCTTCGATGCTCAGTCGTTGTGTGGCCTGACGCAGATCTCTGGGTCATTTATCTAAATCCCTTCGAGGATTGTTTCTACAATTGATCTAGCATGCCAGGTCGATCCAGGCTAAATTGAACATCTTATGACTCACCAACGTTTAACGTATCAGCCACCAAGTGCCAGAGAATTAGACCACACAACAATGGACGGGCTAAACTGAACATCTTGTGACTCACCAACGTTTAACGTATCAGCCATCAAGTGCCAGAGAATTAGTCCACAATAGAATAGACAGGCTACATTGAACATCTTGTGACTCACCAACGTTTAACGTATCAGCCACCAAGTGCCAGAGAATTAGTCCACAATAGAATAGACAGACTAAAATGACATTTTATGAAAGGAAGAAAATGTTCTTGAATAAATCAATGGCATTGGTGTAAAGGACAATATAATTCCTGCATATTATATAAAGGGCTTTAACGCATGACTGTGAATATATAAAGGGCTTTAACACAAGACTGTGAATATATAAAGGGTTTGAACACATGACTGTGAATATATAAAGGGTTTTAACACATGACTGTGAATATATAAAGGGATTTAACACATGACTGTGAATATATATAAGGGTTTTAACACAAGACTGAATATATAAAGGGTTTTAACACATGACTGTGTATATATAAAGGGTTTTAACACATGACTGTGAATATATAAAGGGGTTTAACACAAGATTGTGAATATATAAAGGGTTTTAACACATGACTGTGAATATATAAAGGGTTTTAATACATGACTGTGAATATATAAAGGGTTTTAACACATGACTGTGAATCCTTGACAATAATAAAGATGCCAAACAATTTCTTGAGGAGCACAGAGATGTGGTGTTGCAGAAGATTCCTTAGAATTCATTCGACAGCCAAAATGTGCAACCGTGATGTTTTGAAAGAGGTGAGTGCACGAAGATAGCTTATCCCACAGACACACACACAAAGGAAACTGCAACATTTTCCGACAAAGTGGAACATGTTGTGACCACTAGAAAGAAATGTTGAAAAAGAGGCAGCTAAAGACAACAGGAAGAGATTCTTCAGCCTTTAGTCGTGGCATAGAAGGGTGTCAACACACAAACTTATGCACGCAGTTTAAGATCGCAGATTTGGAGAGGTACGATAGTCTACGTCAATCGCCAAAGCACCTGATGATGAAGGTGATGATGATATTAGAGAAGTGTTGCGCTTGTGCGGGAGGTGGTGCCTTGTTGACCCACGTGACACACAGGTATTACCTCCAGGTGTGTCCAGGTATTTGAGCACATCAACCTTTGGTGGCAGCATCAAATCTGCCGAGTGGATGAAGCTGGTGTTGATTCTTGGAGGCAATTCAATCGAAGCATTGATTTGCAGATCCTTCTCCAGAAACAGACGTAACTGGGGAAGAGGAGTTGGTGGAGGTGAATGATGAATTACAGGATATATTTGTTGATCTGGGACATCCTCTCTGGTGAATGACACATGGATAGAGGATGTCGGGAACGCCCTCTACTACGATATAAAGATGTGTGCAAGTGGCGTACGAATGATATAGGCATTGAGGTCTATTCGTGGGAACAACGTGCCATGGACCGTGTGGAGGGACAGATCAGGAAGAGAATGCAAGAAAACAAAACACATTGCAGAATGGATGAGAGTTTGGCCTCTGAGAAAAAACAGACTAAATAAATGGGATGGCAACAACGGTTCTGAAATCCCCTGTTGTAACTGTGGAAAAATTTTCTTAACGCAGGCGGCTCTGGCTAGTGACACTCGCCATCGCCCTGGGCTGTGAGTCCCGTGCCTTCTCATAGCACAATATAGCACTATCGTCTGGAAGGACGGACAGGTACTAACAAGCAGTTGAATGTCTCGGGTTCCAGTCAAACTAAGGAAGGATTTTCTATAACTGACTTAAGGGTTTCCATGTCGACCCAGTCTACAACGTGTGCCAGGAAATTTTCAAGGAAGTAAAGACGACTGGCTTGATATGTTCACGATCACTAAAAGCTTGGACCTAGCACCATATTCTCAAGCATTATGATCCCTCTCTCGGCCTGCTTTGCTTACTCAAAAGGGACTGAGAGACATCAGCCCTTTCACCCCCGTTCCCTTTGTGTACTTTTTGACTGTTTCTATTTAAAATGTGAAACTTTTCATTGGTCTATGACCAGGTTTGACACAGGGTAGATGGACCTGACCTTTAATGCTAGTCTTCTTCTGTTGTTCCTTTTTTTTTTCGCTCTGGGTGAAAGTTTTGGTTGTTCGTCTACTTCTAGTAAAAAAGTAAGTTAAGTAAAGTAAAGATCCCTTTCCACGTCTTTAGGCTAATCAGACATCTGAAAAGAGCACCCATATTTTTACAGACCAATCGGCATTCGGTGGGTAATGTGGTCAGCATTACGCCGGCCGTCTTTACTTCCCCAGGACAGCCATCCTGGTACCCATTTGAGGCTGGGTCGACCTGCGACGTCCCATACCACAATAAAAATCCACGCAGCCCGCAGTGGGTTTCGATCGTGGTACGTTGGATTACGAGACGAACTAGCAACATCCTAGCCACGGACGACGCGTCTACTTCTAGACTGTAGTCAAATTCCAGAACTTGAGTTTTACATGGGCATTTCTTTTACAGATCCGATTTGTTGGTTGCTTTCCTTTCAAGTAGATGCATTCCCACCAAACTAAACGCCCATAATTAGTCATCTTTACTACACGCTAGTTAGCCGCAAGTGGGTCTGCTCTTCGACTTCCCAAACGGGACCCCAGAACCCACACGAAGAACCAGCCCCAATAATTCCTAATTATCATTCCTATCTCCTCATTGATTGCTTCAAATAAATGCAGTAGGTAATATTTGATTCCTGATATCCCCTTACGATTATGAGTGAAACGTAGAAGTGATGACGCAACCACTCGACACTTATAAACGATACAAGAACGTGTTTTATTTATTCATTTATTTTGTTACCGGGGGGGGGGGGGGGGGGATCTTCTTCAGCATTCTGAGCCCTTGAGGATCATTGCTGTAGATATCACCCGCCTCCATTCATCTCTCTGGTTGGCATTCCCTTTCCAGTTGGTGACACCAAGTGTTTGCTGGCCTGTCTGGACATTATCTCTGCATCTTCTTCTAGGTCTGCCTTGTGGTCTACGACTACGACTATCCTTGTGGATACAGTTTGTACTTCTCTATCATCTGACATTCTGTCAATATGCTCCAACCATTTCAGTCTATTTGCTCGCATGAGAGGGGAGGATGGAGGGGGTGAATATCAAAGGGTTTACCTTCTGTAGTTCGCTAGTGGTTAGATCACAAAATGGCCCTGGCGTGACAGGGTCGCTTAAATCAACGACATTGTTGTTGGGATTCTTCTGGCTTCCACAAGTTTCCAATTTCTGCGATGGGTCACCCTCCAATCCGTAGGTAGTGGTCATCAGCAGAGCATACAGCAGCACAGGTCCCAAGCTTTGACTGGTCAGCTGGTATTTGGAAGGCATGCTATTTGTATGGAAACACAAATTAAGGATTTAAAATGACAAGAATGTTTGACGACAAAGAGTGTGGCTCTGTGGCTTAAAGGTTAGTAAAATACTCTCGCAACGCAGGCATCAACGCTTATCGGGGATGGGTGGCATCATGGTCCACGTAATACAAGAAAAGTATTAGTGATAATTTGCCGTGGTCATGTAAGGACACCTTTGCCGTTACCACTGGCGAGATGAGATGCCTGAGAAAAGCCTTCAGTCTAAGCATCTGAGATTAAGTTAATAATGGGCTTTGGGCGGTGAGCTACTACGTGATAAAGCAGATGTGAGAAGGCTGTGGGGGTTTAAATGGACAGTGCAAAAGAACAGACACGGCATACATACATTGAAACACTAATAGGGAGGGGGGGGGGTTGAGTATGTGGGAAACATTGGCGGGTTTTTAGCCAGAGTGTAGTCGGCACTATTATTATATCGTTGTCAGGGACCTACTATACTACTTTATATTCTATGGCTCGCTATGTAGGCCTAATAACAGACTTCACTACTCTACGACACACTTAAGACACGCACCTATTGAGTACAAACATAATCTTTAATTTACAACGATCAATACAACTTATAGCACCTCAACCATGTTGGCAGTCCTTATCCGAAACGCCGGCTTTGAGCAGCTTTTACATTCACTGGTCAGCCCGAGCCGTTTCCGTGGATCCCCAAGGACACGATTCCAAACTAACAGTCGAACAGTGCTGACTAAGCCGCCGTCTATTGCCACGCGGGACTCAGTGACACACGTAAGGTGTATTGCCTAAGTGTGACTGGGCAGTGTTAACGCCATTAACAGTTCGTGTCACACATTCACTCGCTGCTAAACAAATAATGCGTGGAACGTCTTCTATACAAGGAACATTAACTCTACACTATCTCGTCGAAACATTAGATGGAAACACAGCCTATCTCAAAAATACTAACCACAAAAACTATTAAATCTAGCCGTCACTAAACTAAGATACGTTTACCCGTCGTAATACTGCGTCTGTTCAGTCCAGTCTACGCTACACAACTCAACACCTCGAGCAAGCTCTCTCCAAACCTCTTTGTTCCCCTCCCATGTTAATCTCCTGACACGTGGTAATACGTGTTAGCAGTGGGACCTACAACGTTTACAGCCCACCTCAAACAACATGCTACAAACCAGAACTATACAAGACACAGTACTTAAAAAACTTTCTTGTTGGTGACTTCAACGGACACTCGCCACGTTGGGGTTACCCTGACTACAATAGCAGAGAGAAATACATCGAAGATACTTGTGAAACAACTAAACCATTGATGCTGCAGGACACAAAGTTTCTACTTACACTGTTACACAGGGCCCACCAACCGATCTGACCACATCCGACTTAGCAGACGCAAGTTACCCCCAAGTCTTGGATGACATAGGAAGTGACCACAAACCAATACTTACATCTGTAAGCACCTCCGCTAAATTATGCTTCAAGCAGAGAACCCGTTGGAATTTTGGAAAAGCAAACTGGAAACTGTTTCAGGAAACATCTGACTGCCTCCTAGGAAGAATTGACAATAGCTTTGTGGACACGTTTTGTAAAGATCTAACAGAAGCAATTGTGAAAGCCATCCCAAGGGGCAGCCGGAAACATATAAACCTTTCTGGAATAGGGAAATTCAAAATACTATATCTTTTGGGAATAAAGCAAGATTTTTACTCGAAACTGAACGCTCACCAGAAGCAAAGATCCAATACAATAAAGCATGTGCCAGAGTAAAGCTTGTAGTTAATAAGGCTAAAAGAGATAAATGTACAGAAACTTACTCTAACCTAAACCTTAGACAGAATGGAAATGGACTTTAGTTAAAAACCTCTCCGGAGAAAGTAGAAGGGTGAACCCCAAACCCGTGATAGATGGGAGGAAGACAATTAATGAAGACAAGAAGAAAGCTGACCATTTCAGTCACTATTTTGCCTCGGTTAACAAAGCAGGTAAACGCACAGAATTGGATAGAATACAGCTATCTCAGTTAAAGAAACAAGAGAGAGCTCCAACAGCCAACGACTCCCTTTTTGAAGATGAGTTTAGCATGGATGAATTAGAACAAGCCCTGAAGAAATTAAAACCTAGAAAATCCCCAGAATGCTACTCCCTCCGAGACCAGCCAGGTGGAAAACCCTGTACGGAGGAAAAGAACAGCTTGTGAAAATATGTAAATTCCACTACATGGCATTGGGCCAAAGGGCGAAAGTTTTTGCGCCGCTGGATCGATAACAACAACAAGCAGTGGGACTTGGGCCTTGTTTAATTCAGCCGATCCAGTTTATTTCGTGGCCAAACTGCCCGATCTCGCACTGAGTTCTACTGAGGGTCAACTCGCTCATACGTGATGATTCACTATTATCAACTCTGTTCATCCAGCAGCCGAACGGGCCTCTGACATCCGCCCCTCCTTATAATAGATACTTCCTGACAACAGACGTCTAAGCTCATTATCTCAGTCTGTAGTCAAGTATCTCTAACCGGGTATGGGATGTTCCCATATTTGTGTCAACCTTTGGTTACCTAACTCTAAGATGTCCTGTTTTTAACCAGTCAGAAGTCGTCCACGTATATCGCCAACATTCAGTTACCTAGACGTAAGATAGTTTCTATCGAGGGTCAGTCACATATGTAAATCTCTATTGAGAATCAGTCCAATATGTGAGGTCAATATTTATCTAAATTTGATATTCCTTATCCTGTCAGTCACTTGAGAGAACAATACATCTACATTTCTTTGTGACCTGTACGCATCTGAGGATAACACTTCCCTCTGTGGCTACCAATGATATCAATACCCGTCACAAATACGCCACCATTTTCTGACGCCTACTGATCATAAAGGTGATGACTAAAAAATATATTTATTAACTTTTCCCTGTGCCTGCCGCACACAATTTCCACATGTACTACTTATACACTGTCTTTGTCGTTTAGCCTACTCGTCTAGACGCCACGTGTTCCTAACAAAAACAGTTATTAATTCTAAAGACATTTAGTCAATGCATATAACAACACAATGTAACACACGATCACAAACTAGCCTCTATATTTATACAAGTTAAATCTGGATCTAGCTATCTACTATTAAGCTATTAAGAGATAATTTCGATCATGTTGTCACAAATTAAGGGAGCCATCCCAGCAACGTCATCATAAATTAAGAAATCAACTCAATAGCTAAATCTAATTTTTAAGAGAACAATTACCTATATAACCTAGCGCTAACTTTGCGAAGAGATAACTATAAACGCCACATGTCACCAAAATGCATATCTATATATATATATATATATATATATATATATATATATATATATATATATATATATATATGTGTGTGTGTGTGTGTGTGTTTGTGTGTGTGTGTGTGTGTGTGTGTGTGTGTGTGTGTGTTTGTGTGTTTGTTTATTACCTATAGACTCAGAAACTACTAAACCGATTTGGCTGAAATTTTCAGGAACTGTTTGTTTTGATACAGGAACCTGTCATGGTTTGAAATAGGTGGTGACATTTGTTAGGAAACTATTTTCATTTTAGTAACATTTAATTGAAGCCACGTTCGTAAATGCGCATGCGCGGTAGTAGGAACCCACGACTTCCACCATTCGCCGGCGTGGTACAGCAAACCAGACTGTCTCTATATCTACACAGGCAATGATATCACCAATAACCATATCAGACACAATTTTTTATTCTCTTTCTTTTCAAACAACCTTCAGTGACTTAAAGAGTAGTCACTGGATTTTTTTTTCTTTGGGGGAGGTGGCATCAAAGATTATTTCTATGTCTGCGCAGGCAATGATTGCGACATTATCCGTGTTAGACACGTTCGATTTCTATTGTTGTGCCGTTTCAATAATACTTGAAGTTTATATCTGGGATTTCTGTCTATGAGAAAACAATTGCATGCGGTTTCGAGTCGTGTTAAAATCGAGACACTGTAGTCGGGACATACATCTCAATATAGTTTTGTTATCTTTTCGTTGTTCAGAAGGAGTGGTTGATTGGCTGAATGGTTAGAACTCTGGGCTCCCGTGCGGAAGACCAAGGTTCGAATCGCCGGTACGGCATTAAATATTTTTTTTTTATTCGGGTGCAAAATAAAATCCTCACCTGCACTGTCGTGGCGACAGCACTAGCAATGCGGCCCTAAATCCTTTAAAAAAAGTGTACAGGTATGTGGGTAAAACAGTTGATAATCAAATTTGACCATTTTACTTGTGATTTTATTTCAAACTTTCCGATTGCTTGGTTACGTTGAATTTGTATAGATATCCATTTATTTTATTTATTTTTTTTTTTATTATTTCGTCTTACATTGCGTTTGACTTAGGCTGTGTTGTTTACAAAGCATTCATTTGGTAATTATGGTGTATTTTTCCTGTTTTATTTGCTTTTCACTTGTTTTTTTTTATCTCCTAACTACTTCGATGAGAGAAAGAGTAGTCGGTGAATTAAGGGGGGGGGGGAGGGGTGGAAGGGGATCATAAACTGTTAACTGAGAGAGCTTTAAGTCCCAGTAACTGCCTTACCCACTCAAAGCAGCAGTTGTAGTAGTTGTGATTGGGCGGTTATACCGTAGTACTGTCATGCCAGAGACCGCCGGTAAGGCGTTTTTCTGTCGGCGAGCGAAATTACAAATCCTAACCTGACCAGCCCCTGGCGATAGTACTAGCCAGGCGGCGCCAAATCTTCTGGCTGACGACTCCCTGTGTACCCCGATGGTAAACAGATAGCAGTGACATTATTTTAGTTATTGTAGTGGTGGTGGTGGTAGTAGTTGTACTGGTACTTGAAAGATCATGTGGTAAATATTACAATAGCCGCATTTACTACTCATTACAATTCCTGCTCCCCATTTTTGTCCGGTATCAACGTTAGTTACAAAAAATATCGTCATGTGATGACTTTCAAACCCTTCGAAGATGGAAAGAGCAGTATTCGGTTGATGGG